TTTGAGAATTTAGAATAACTTTGGCATCATAAAACAGTAAATAACGGGTTTTTTTATCGATGTGATAGTCTGATAGACCCAATCAAGAAGAAATTCAAACAGTTCTTTGCTTATGAGCGGATGCTGTTTCAAAAAGAATTAAAACATGTCTAGTTTTAAAAAGAAAGATTCTGGTTGTCAAGTAAGAAAGAATGCTGCTCAAAGAACTGCGAATGAGGAAAAAAACAAACGCACTCTTCAAGACTGTGGTATTACAGTTACAAAAAAAGGAGAAGATGAAAGTCCTACTGCTTCAAACTCTTCCCTGCCAAGTCAATCGATTCAAGTAGTAAATAGTTTTCCCCGTGAAAGGATATTTTCCCATTTGATTAATTCAATGTTATATAAATTTTTAACTTATTTTATAGGTTGGAACTGAAAACGATGTCACTGACATTTCTGAAAGCTCGGGAGAGCCCCTATCAAAAATCGGAATGGTAGCTGTGAATGAAAAGAATATTTTGGTAAGTTCTGCCTCTTTAAAAGAAATGATGTTAATAAACTTTTAAGCTAATAAAATAAGATTTTTTAAAATTTATTCTCAGGTGTTGCCAACAGAAGAACCCATCGCTACCATTCCCTCCAATGATCCTGCTTTGTGGGCAGCACATCTTTCCAAAGTGGAAAGAGATTCTGTGCTTCTACAGGGGCTTCCTCGAAATCCTTTAGCTTTCCCGAAAGATTCTAATAAGAAGAAGGTTGCTGAATCAATTTTCTACGAAACTTCTCTCAACGGGGAGAAGACATGCCGAGATTGGCTGGTCTGGAGTGTATCTAAGAAATCATTTATTTGCTTTCCGTGTTCTCTGTTTGGAAGCAAACAATCTTTTGGGATCGGACACTAGTCGCACCTTGTAAGATGGAATGATGGAATAAGCTGCAACTAGCACAAGCTACCTGAGAAAGTCAAAAGTCACCAGAATAACGCCCAGCATCGAAACTTTTACATAGAATGGAAAACGACGCTAGAAAGCTTAGAAAATCAAAGCGGAATAGATGCAGCTCTTGAAAACTCGATAAGAAATGAAGCAGCCAGGTGGCGTGAAATTCTACGATGCATGATGTTACTCTTTTTTTAGCGTCACGAAACCTTAGTTTCAGAGGTAAATCTATTTACCATTATTCTATTGTGATATCGACTATCTTTAAATCTATTTAGCTTATATTTATTAGATTAACTAGATTTTTTGGAAATCATTAAATAAAACAAATCCTTCTTTATTCTTTTAAATAAATATGTTATAATATTCATAAATCATAATATAAAATCATCATAGAATCATCATAAAATAAAACAAATGCTTCTTTAATGTTTTAAATAAATCTGTTTTATTATTATAACTTTTAGATTCATCAAAAATGATTGGAGATGACAACAATGGCAACTTTCTAGCTACCCTAGAGCTCTTGGCCAAGCACAACAAGACTCTCCAACTACACTTAGAAGAACTTTCCCGCTGCCAAAAAGAAGGTAACAAAATGAATGCCCATTACTTGGGCTGGAGCACTCAAAATGAATTCATCAAAGAGTGCGGAGGAATCGTTCACAGTGCCATCATCAACGAAGCTCATATGGCCATCTACTATTCCATTCTTTTGGACGGGACTCCGGACGTCTCTCACACCGAGCAAATCACCTTTGTTCTCCGTTTTGTATACTTTGGTACTGACAAAAGATGGACCGTGAAGGAGCGCTTTCTGAGGGTCGAGAATCTTGAAAAAAAGATAGGTGCTGACATTGCCAAGCTTATTATGGACGTCTTAGAACAAAATGGAATCGATCTCAAAAACTGCAGAGGTCAAGGATATGACAATGGAGCGAACATGTCCGGTATATACAAAGGGGTACAGGCGATTATACTGCAAAAAAATCCTCAAGCTCTCTATATGCCATGCAGTGCTCATAGTCTCAATTTTGCTGGTGTTCATTCTGCTGAATCTTCGGTTGAAGTCAAGAACTACTTTGGCCGAGTCTAGTCACTTTACAATCTTTTCAGTGGAAGCCCTAGTCGGTGGAAAGTCTTGATTAAAACCACTGGTTTGTCCCTTCATCAAACGTCGCAAACCAGATGGAGTGCGCGAATCGAGGCCGTGAAGCCGTTAGTCAAGCGACCCAGGAAAATCCTCGAATCTTTGAAAAAGCTCCGCGATTTTGATCTAACAGCTGATCAATTGAATGAAGTAAAATCTTTGGAGAAGTGGGTTCATTCATTCGAGTTCATCGTAATGACAACCTTTTGGTATAAAACTCTTCAATCAATCAACTACGTGAGCCTTGCACTCCAATCAGAAAATATATCCTTGGACGACGAGATGAAACTCATCAAGACTCTTATTAAAGATCTAAATCGACTGAGATCATCTTGGACCAGCATCCTTAATGAGGCACGTTTGATAGTATCTGGTCTTGCTTCTTTTGGTTTTCAATCAGAATTTGTGAAGAAGAGGACAAAAAAAGGAAGACCTTTCACGAAGAGGTGAGGAACACCGCTCATTTCCATGAAGACGAAGCAAAAGAGTTTGAGGTGAGCGTATTCAATACCGCTCTTGATACTCTTATTCAGCAGGTCAGCGATAGATTCCAAGCTGCTGAGAAGACGACGAACATGTTTTTGTTCTTGTGGTCATTGAAATCTCTTGTTATGTCAAATGAAGAAGAATCAGAAGAAAGTGTTGAAGCACCTATCCAATTGGAGGAGAAATGCAAGGTCTTGGCACAAATCTACGCGACCGATGTTGAGGAAGAGAAACTTATTGAAGAGGTCCGCCACCTCAATGCTCTGAAGCGATCCAATCTTTTTGGTCCAAAAGAATATCTCACTTCTATGACGTTATTGAATGGAATATACCAGAAAGGTCTTCAGCCGCTCTTCGAATCAGTCTGCATTTCGCTGCGCATCTTCAACACCATCCCTGTTTCTGTTGCCGAAGGCGAGAGATCTTTTAGTAAGCTTTAGTTGAGACAGCTTTAAGGTCTACAATGAACCACGAACGACTCACAAATCTTCTGGTTATTTCCATTGAGCATGATCTTGTCAAAAAGTTGTGCTACGGTAAAGTGATTTCCAAATTCCCATTGAGTAAAGCTCGAAAGATCAATTTCCTCTGAAGTTGAAACAACAATAGCTGTTGTATTCTAGACAAATTTTTGCTCTTAACATCCAATAGTGTTTAATGGTTGTCTTTGGTCTGTTTCTACCATGTTCTTGTGTCGACTTTATCATTTTATGTATGAGTGTATAACCAAGTCAAAAGACCATTGCAATTATCTAGAAATAAACTGTTCAAATGTTCATTAATTAAAATTAAAAAAATCTATATTCTTTTATCCTCTTTGATTTGTTATCAAATGGCTTATTATATGTATTGAATTATGGATCATTAGATCAGGTTTCACTTTCAGCAGGGCGCTTGGGAAATTTTGACCCTGGGCGCCGCAAAGGCTCACGGCGGGCCTGTATATATATATATATATATATATATATATATATATATATATATATATATATATATATATATATATATATATATATATATATATATATATATATATATGCTCAATGTTCTTAAAGAACAGAGCAATAATAATTTAGTAAAAAAACTTATCTAATTTTTGTGCTCTTCAACAGCATGTTTCACCAGCATGAACCTACTGATGGTGAAACATGCTGTTGAAGAGCACAAAAATTAGATAATTGTTTTTACTAAATTATATATATATATATATATATATATATATATATATGTATATATAAGTATTGTAGTTTATCCTCTTCCGGCTTACTGCCATACAGAGGCAACATTACCAAAGCTTGCGAAGACGATTTTAGCTCACTAAAGAGCATCATGATCCGCTTTGCAGACCAAAAGTAAGTGAATTTAGAAGAACGAAGGATAATTGACCCCCATTTTTTTTCTAAAGGACTTTTTTTTGTTTGTTTGGAAAATTCTGGATATAGAGAACTTTTTTCAGAAATTAACAATTGTGCCACAACCATCCCCCCCCCCCTTTCTTCGAAGCCCGTGTCGTCGGCCATGAGTATGTGCAACTAAAAAATACCTTTAGTTTACAAGTTTTTTACTTACGGTTATGAATGCAGTACTCTAAAAAAAAAACCGCTTTTAACAAGGTTTAGGTGGTTCAGCAGATTTTACAGCCTTATATAATATATATTGATGAAAAAAGTAGTCAAAATTGAAAGTTTAAGTTTGTTGAAACACATATTTTATACAATTTTATATTTTATAAATTATTGTAAAGAAAAGTTATAAAACAAAACAAACCTATCTATTTAATAGTTCTTTATCATTTTCTATTAATTTTAATTCATAACATTTAAAAAGACACATAATTGCAACACAAATGTTAAAAAAACTATTTCATAATAAAAAGATATATCTTTATGATATGTAAGGATGCGGGAGGTTGGCCTTACGCAAATTGAGCAAGTTATGGCCAACCTGTCCAATCATTACGTTTAGAGAGTAAGCATTAGCTAAAGCATTTCTTAAACCATCAATTGATAACACAGATCAACAAACAAACAAACAAAAAAATTTCTGTTTCCGAGCAAACATACGTTTTTTTGATAGCATTTCTCATTTAGATTTCAAATATGCAATTTTTTCATCATCATGTCAAGTTGTTAAGTTATTTTGGTTCAAATCTTTAGCATTTGCGGTAAAATTTCTAATATTGTAAAAAAAAAAAATTTTAATGTCAACCTTGTTCTCAAAAGAAGCATATTTTCAAGGATATTTAAAAGACTCTTAAAACAATTTTTTCTTATTGTTTCTCATTGAAAGTAGAAAAAAAATTATTTTTTAACAAGATAGAGCGGCGCTAGTCAAGCATACGTGAAGTTGGGTTAGCAAGATATCTCGAGAACAACGCATCGCATGACAAAACATCTTGTGGATGAAAGGTAAGGAGTTAGAATAATGCATCAAAATGTGAATCAAAAGGTTGTTGGACGGCAGTTAAGTAAGATTTGGATTTTGATTTAAGTAGATTTGGATTTGAGTTGATTTGGTTAAGTAGGTTAGTTTTTCTATTTCGGACTAAAAACAGTAAAAAAAAAAAGTATTCGTATTTTTCTTTTAGATACATATAAATTTTATTATCTGCCAACACTTATGTGTTGATATTTTATCAATTGTCTGAATTTCGATTGTAATTAGACGTTTTCCATAACTCTTCTTGTTCTCTTTAAAACCTAACTGTATCCCCTTGTCTAACTGTATCACCTTGTTTAAGGTGAGCAGCTTTAAATAAAATTGATAAAATTCAGTTATCGAAACAATGAAACAACTTTAATAAGAAAAAATTTTTTGATTGTGAATTTGAATTTTTTTAAATTAGTAATTTTTAAATGGGGCTTCAAAGTTACAATTGTATATTTAATATTTTTATAGTTTACAATACTTTCTTACTATTTAATTTATTCACTTCTCTTACTTACGTCATTAAAGTATATAAATAAAAGGTTTATAAATTATATACACGCTTATTATCAACCATAGCTTCATTGATGATTTATCCAAGTTCCATATTATATAAAAATTTCAAAAATATGAATCACTTTATAATTAAATTATCATTTAAGATTTTAGTGAGCAGAAAATGACGTTTTTTAACAAAAAACGAAAAAAAGGGAATTTAACAAGATTTTTTGATTATATTTTTTTATCGATGTTTTTTTATAAAACGATTCAGATTCACGGCCGTCCAGAGGGGGTGTAGGGGTGTCTAGTGTTTAGGGGTGATAAGTTCGTGGCCAAAAATTTTTTTACTTTAGTTGGCAAATAACAGATACGTCACCCTCTCCCCCTCCTTTAAAATCTC